GGCCAGTAAATAAACATTCCATCTTAAAAACCTCGTTGTGGCGTGCAGTACAAAAACAATGTAAAGTGTGTTGTGAGTAAATAAAAATTTTGAAAAAAAAAAGTTATTTTTCCTTGGGAAGTAAGAGGTGAGGGTTCGAATCCCACCAAGCCTTGGGAGCGGAGTTTTACCCACACCTCAGCACTTATACTTAATAGCTGATAGCTTACTGGGATATATTTTTCCCGCCTTGCATACGGTTTCATCGTCTTTTTTGAAAAGGAGAAACCTCAAGCGATAAGTAATTTAGTGTTGGTAGCGCCACGCACTAACCTTACTCATAACCCTACCTTCCCCCTTACCTTCGCTGTGGGTTTTAATGCGATTTGGCTTGCAACGACTTCTGGGGGCTGCTAATGTACAAGCCAGCGACGCTGTTATCCAATTTACATACCGAAGCATTTTTTGTCCCGAAAAATCGGGAGGGTTTGAAGTCCTAGTCAGGGTTTGTTATAAATTTGACCTCGCGATCATGTGCCTGGTAAACAACACTTTTGCCTTTAAGCTATTTTGGCGCTCTCGTCTTCTCCATAGGTCTGAAAATGAGTGAAACCTTTGAATTCTTCACTACCCCGCCATGTGATTTTCCTTTCTGGTCTAACCATAAGCTCAATCAACGGAGACTCCATCCGGTGTTTTGATTTATGTAGCTAGGAGAAATAAGAAAATAAGACAAAAACTGAAAAAAGAAACTAAGGTCAACTAGGAGTAAACCAACAACAACACGGGCTTCCTTCAAATAAAAGTGCCTTATTTTCAGATGCTGGTCTTAGTTTGCTAGAGATTGGGCCATGCATAAGTGTTCCACTCATATTTGTAGACAGCTTCATTTCACATAAATTCAACAGAGGTCCATTGCTCCCGTAGTTGTGGCAATCTTAACTCGGCTCAGCGAGAAAGCTGTACATAGAATTCGGCTGGGTTGACTGGATACAGGCGTCAAATTCTGGGCACTTTTTCTGAATCAAAAGAGTTATAGCTCAAGAAAACCCTGTTTTGGGTAGCTTTAAAGTGGCGTAGTGGTCAAAAGGGCTGCACTGAGTCCTTGCGTTTTTTGAAATCGACTTCTCAATCTATTACCTGGGCTATATAACACTTATTTGTCCAACACAAAAGGACATTTGTCAAAAGCAGCCCCGGGATAAAACTGATGATGATAGCGCTTCCGTAGTGATAACTGAGCTGCGGAACGACCTGAAAGTGGGAAGGAAAGCAAGAGAATCTTGGGAACGCTGAAATTAAGGCCTTAACCTTCAATAAGGTCGGATGTGGTACGATGGCGAGACAGGGCGATCAAAGAAGACAAAACACGCGAGATCACGCCGTTCGAGAGAGCACGCTGATCTCTACATATCGAGGTGGGTGGGAAGCGTTGCAACGGGGTCGATGGTTGCAGGCCCGTAAGGATTAGCGCCCTAACCGCGCAATTTTGCGACGAAGCTGGAGTGATCTAGGTAGGTATGGACCTTACAATTTCCCTCGCAGTATCCTTCCCACAACGACTAATCCAAGGGTTTGCATTTTAGTCAGTACGCAAAAAATGCCTTTTGCACCTACTATGTGAGGGCCATCCTTTAATCCCCGCCTTGCTTGGGCATTTCTGTTTGAAGTTTTATGTTTAGAAAGCTGTCGCATCGATGGTAACTCCAGTGCAACCGTCTTCTTTGGATATTCTGGTCAGTAAGTGTTTATGCCGGCCGAAGCCTCACCTGGAAAGTCACGCATTGAAGCGGGAACGAAATCTACTGGTAGCACTGAGTACAGGTAAATGTTTCGAAACTGCATCGAGTGCTACGATTTTTACACATTCATAATATTCTCATGTCATAGTAACATTTTGTCGCGTAGTAGGCAACTGCGTCCAACAGTGTGGACATTTTTGTTGTGAGTACGGTAGCGCGAAAGCTCTGACACATTCCGTGCAGGGCTCTGAGTACACCAAAAATGGCGAACACAACGCGTTTATGTCGGTCGACATGTCGTAGGAGCGATTTCAACGCTTTTGGACGATACAGTAACATCGTCATTGAGAATCTTGTCCCATACTCCATT